TTTTTTGTTTCCGTCAGCAAAACACATCAGCAAATTAAAAATATACTTATACACATCAGCATTTCGTTTAAAACATCCGTTTAAAATTCGTTTGCCACGTCAGCATCTCCATCAATTAATCCTTAAATAGAAAAAACTCAAAGTTGACATCCCTAATTAGAAAAAAATGAAAGTTAACCACCTTATTTAAAAACTGGTAAAGATTACATCTTTAAATAGAAAAACTTACAAAGTTCAAGTCCTTATTTGGACCTTTACTCCAAATTGATGGCACCACCCGCTAAGAAGCGGTTCACGTCCCAAGATTGAATCCCTTCTTTCCCATTGAGCAAATAATATTTGAGCAATAAATGCTTAAGGAGAGGGGAAAGAAAAAAACATCGTGATTTGATTATAAAAAATTAAAGAGGAGAAGGAAAAGTTTTCTTTTATTTTGTTTTTTTTTAATATATAATTTATTTAATTAGTTATCTTTTTTTTTAAACAGATTTTACAAGGGGTTGGGTTCGAACCCCAACCCTAAGAGAAGGGGAAATGCACCATGAGTGGCTATTGCCACTTGGCCCGAAGGGCTCGGTGCATTTAATTAGTTATCTAAATAAAAAAAAAAAAGGGAAAAAGGAGATGAATGAAAAGATATAATTTTCCCTTCTTCCCCTCTCTTCTCTTTCTATTTATTATTTTTTTAATCAAAACATATTATTAAGGAACAAATTTAAAAAATCATATTGTTATGGATTTGTTTAACTACTTATACATAACTTAATGGTATAATAAATGTATAACTTTTTATAATTAATTTACTAAAATTTGTAAAAACTAATATTTATTTTAACACTAGTGACACATGAATGATTTTTATTTGTTAATTAATTAATTCAAAATTAATGTTTGTTATTTTCATGTAAATTAATTATAAAAAATATATATTAACTACATCCTTTAACATATATATTAAAAATATAAGTTAAAAAAATCCTATTATTATTAGTGTAATTATCTCTTTTTATTTTTATTATTTAAAAAAGAAAGAATGTAACCCGACTTGTGTGTTTGTCTTAATTAATGACCTTCATAATCAATCCACAATACTTTCAATAATTTGAAAAGATGTGCTGCCTTGTCAATTTGAAATTGGGAACCACATATATCAAATTAAAATTAGAATAAAAATGTATTATAGGTGACGACGACTCTAATGATTTTTTTTTTTTTTGTGAAAGTAAAATTTTTTTATTTTATAAAACTAAAAGGGTATGAGTTTGTCATACATCATAGAAAATATTGAAGACCTATATTAGAATTTTGAGACCAAAGAAAAAGAATATATAATCAATGATTAAATGTATTTTAAAAAACTTTTGAAAAAAGAAATATTAACAGCCATTTTGTTGTAAGAATTTATATTTTTCAATTAAACTTGCTTATTCATTACTAGTATATGAATAAAACATGAAAAACAATTATGTAATTTGAATTACAATAAATTATATAACAATGATTGTTAAATGAGGTGTAAATTTCTTAATATTAGAGCATTTCCTAATATAATTATTTTTAATTTGTAACTTAAACCATAAAATATGAGATTCATAAGAAAATTTAGTTTTAAAAAAAATCTTATCTTTTATTTTTTATTAACCTCCTAGTATCTAAAAAAATTATTTTGGATCATAACTAATTTGAAATTGAATCGGGCCGAACTTCATATAAGGAAAGCTCTTACAAGACTCGAACTCCAAATTTTTTTTAAAAAAATCAAATTTTTTCTACTTGAACCAACAGATCGTTGGTAAAAATCTTATCTTTTGATCAAATATAAAAAAGAAAAAAAAAAAAAAAGGAAAGAAAGAAAGAAAGAGAGAACGGTTTACCTCTTCTTCAAACCCCCGCCAATTTTTGTTTAGGTAAAAAAGTTGGTAGTTAAGGTAGTTAATTCGACATTAAAAATTGAATAATAATAGTAATTTGTACTCGGTTTTAGAAGTAAACGATAATAGCCAATGACAGACGAGAGCATGCAATCGAGTTCATTATCTTAAGGTGAAACCCAGTGCATAGAAACCTGGCTCAGGTTAGTAATAGTACCTACTATTGTTATGAGAATAGCTGTTAAATACAACCGTCTATTTCTT